ATTCTAAGCCGTTAAGCATGGTGCACTAAACTATTAAGTAGTCATCGTATTGAGCTAGCCAAACGTTCATAACGTCTGCATCTGCTCCTGCAATAGGTTTGTCACCTAGCGGTGCATCAAGGACATAATTTTTCTGTGCAGCAATGAGGATAATCCTCAGATTACGGATCCAATCCGCATCATTGCTACTAACATCTTTCAACACAATTTTCTCTGGGAACATATCAAAATAAACATATGAAAGCAATAACGCGAGCTATTGATCTACAACATAATTTGCAAAATACTACCAGGTACTAAGTTCATGATAAATTTAAGTTCAATTACACTCCCACTTAGATAGACATCCCTCTAATCCTCTAAGTGATTACGTGATCCATATCAACTACACCATGTCCGATCATCACGTGAGATGGAGTAGTTTCAATGGTGAACATCACTATGTTGATCATATCTACTATATGATTCACGTTCGACCTTTCGGTCTCCGTGTTCCGAGGCCATATCTGTATATGCTAGGCTCGTCAAGTTTAACCTGAGTATTCCGCGTGTGCAACTGTTTTGCACCCGTTGTATTTGAACGTAGAGCCTATCACACCCGATCATCACGTGGTGTCTCAGCACGAAGAACTTTCGCAACGGTGCATACTCAGGGAGAACACTTCTTGATAATTAGTGAGAGATCACCTTAAAATGCTACCGTCAATCAAAGCAAGATAAGATGCATAAAGGATAAACATCACATGCAATCAATATAAGTGATATGATATGGCCATCATCATCTTGTGCTTGTGATCTCCATCTTCATAGCACCGTCGTGATCACCATCGTCACCGGCGCGACACCTTGATCTCCATCGTAGCATCATTGTCGTTACGCCATCTATTGCTTCTACGACTATCGCTACCGCTTAGTGATAAAGTAAAGCAATTACAGGGCGTTTGCATTTCATACAATAAAGCGACAACCATATGGCTCCTGCCAGTTGCCGATAACTTCGGTTACAAAACATGATCATCTCATACAATAAAATATAGCATCACGTCTTGACCATATCACATCACAACATGCCCTGCAAAAACAAGTTAGACGTCATCTACTTTGTTGTTGCAAATTTTACGTGGCTGCTATGGGCTGAGCAAGAACCGTTCTTACCTACGCATCAAAAACCACAACGATAGTTCGTCAAGTTAGTGATGTTTTAACCTTCGCAAGGACCGGGCGTAGCCACACTCGATTCAGCTAAAGTTGGATAAACTGACACCCGCCAGCCACCTGTGTGCAAAGCACGTCGGTAGAACCAGTCTCGCGTAAGCGTACGCGTAATGTCGGTCCGGGCCGCTTCATCCAACAATACCGCCGAACCAAAGTATGACATGCTGGTAAGCAGTATGACTTGTATCTCCCACAACTCACTTGTGTTCTACTCGTGCATATAACATCAATGCATAAAACCAGGCTCGGATGCCACTGTTGGGGAACGTAGTAATTTCAAAAAAATTCCTACGCACACGCAAAATCATGGTGATGCATAGCAACGAGAGGGGAGAGTATTGTCCACGTACCCTCGTAGACCGTAAGCGGAATCGTTATGACAACACGATTGATGTAGTCGTACGTCTTCACGATCCGACCGATCCAAGTACCGAACGCACGGCACCTCCGAGTTCAGCACATGTTCAACTCGATGATGATCCCCGGACTCCGATCCAGCAAAGTGTTGGGGATGAGTTCTGTCAGCACGACGGTGTGGTGACGATGATGATGCTCTACCGGCGCAGGGCTTCGCCTAAACTCCGCGACGATATGACCGAGGTGGAATATGGTGGAGGGGGGCACCGCACACGGCTAAGGAACGATCCGTAGATCGACTTGTGTGTCTAGGGTGCCCCCTGCCCCCATATATAAAGGAGCAAGGGGGGAGGCCGGCCGGCCCTAGGGGGCGCGCCAAGGAGGAGGAGTCCTCCTCCTAGTAGGAGTAGGACTCCCCATTTCCTACTCCTACTAGGAGGGGGAAAGGAAGGGGGAGAAGGAGAAGGAAAGGGGGGCGCCGCCCCCCCTCCTAGTCCAATTCGAACCAGAGGGGAGGGGGCGCGCGGCCCACCCTGGCCGCCCCTCTCTCTCTCTCCACTAAGGCCCATGAGGCCCATTACTTCTCCCGGGGGGGTTCCGGTAACCCTCCGGCACTCCGGTTTTCTCCGAAATCACCCGGAACACTTCCGGTGTCCGAATATAGCCGTCCCATATATCGATCTTTATGTCTCAACCATTTCGAGACTCCTCGTCATGTCCGTGATCACATCCGGGACTCCGAACAAACTTCGGTACATCAAAACTTATAAACTCATAATAAAACTGTCATCGTAACGTTAAGCGTGCGGACCCTACGGGTTCGAGAACTATGTAGACATGACCTAGAACTATTCTCGGTCAATAACCAATAGCGGAACCTGGATGCCCATATTGGTTCCTACATATTCTACAATGATCTTTATCGGTCAAACCGCATAACAACATACGTTGTTCCCTTTGTCATCGGTATGTTACTTGCCCGAGATTCGATCGTCAGTATCCAATACCTAGTTCAATCTCGTTACCGGCAAGTCTCTTTACTCGTTACGTAATGCATCATTCCGTAACTAACTCATTAGCTACATTGCTTGCAAGGCTTATAGTGATGTGCATTACCGAGAGGGCCCAGAGATACCTCTCCGACAATCGGAGTGACAAAACCTAATCTCGAAATACGCCAACCCAACATGTACCTTTGGAGACACCTGTAGTACTCCTTTATAATCACCCAGTTACGTTGTGACGTTTGGTAGCACCCAAAGTGTTCCTCCGGTAAACGGGAGTTGCATAATCTCATTGTTACAGGAACATATATAGGTCATGAAGAAAGCAATAGCAACGTACTAAACGATCAAGTGCTAAGCTAACGGAATGGGTCAAGTCAATCACATCATTCTTCTGATGATGTGATCCCATTAATCAAATGACAACTCATGTCTATGGTTAGGAAACTTAACCATCTTTGATTAACGAGCTAGTCAAGTAGAGGCATACTAGTGACACTATGTTTGTCTATGTATTCACACATGTATTATGTTTCCGGTTAATACAATTCTAGCATGAAATAAACATTTATCATGAAATAAGGAAATAAATAATAACTTTATTATTGCCTCTAGGGCATATTTCCTTCATATTTCACTTGGGAAAGGAAAGGAAAGCTATTCCCAAGATTTGAGTCCATGGAGCCATTCAAAAAGCAAATCCAAAGCCAATTTGTTAAAAAATCCAAAAGATCTTTGGAAAAAGAAAAAGGCCAAAAATCATGGTGTTACAGTAAACTCATATGTTCCTGTTACCATCGTGCCAAGACTATCAACACGTAACCCCCACTCGAGATCTGCTGGATTTGACTCCATTACGCATTCCGGCAGGCGCATGCCGACCAGAGGTACAACATTCGCCTCGTCACCTAGCACTAGCTTGCGGAGGAGCAAATTGCCATTACGGGCATCATGGCATACATGGACAAGCAAAAGGCGATGCTCCTATCGTACCGCGCCTCCCGCGAAACCCGCCCCAAGCGATGGCGGCTCCGTGTCCTATAGGCAGAGAAAGAAGCTATGTTCGCGGAGATCGACACGATTGTGGAGGAATTTGACGAGACACCGAGAGGTTGCCAGCTCCACGTCGGCTGCGCCCTGCTACCACGACAACGAGGCCGACACGTCCACAGCCTCCGCCGATAGTGAGGAAGATTAGAGCGTGGGAGGCCGCCGCTGCTTGGGTGCCAAGAAGGCCCCCTCCACCGTCTTGTCGGGCCGCACAACTCTGAGCTTGCCCGCTTCGCAGATGCAGGGACCACTACTCTTCCCCTCCCGTTGAAGCTAAATTTGGTGGGCTCATCGCCGACCGATTAGCTTGCCCGCTTCGGGGATGCGGAGGCTACTCTTCCCATCCCGTGAAGGTTAATCTTGCGGGGCTCACGACTTTCCTGTGAGCTTGTTGCTGACCATGAGGAAGACATGTCATGGGAAACGGGCGTGGCGGCAACCGACGATCTTTTGGACTAGGTTAGAAAGCTTAGTCTGCTATAGTTTAGTTGAAATATGTCAAAAATGTAATGAATGTGCTCCGGTTTAGATGAAAATCATTCGGTTTTATGTAAAAAAATATCTAAATTTGAATGGAAGTTGTCAAGTTTGTTTAAATTTGCATCAAATGTGATCGGACGTTTGCATCTATCTTTTGATGGTTGACTCCGGAACCAGTGTCCGGTCCCATGTCCGGACAAGTGTGCAGATGGATGGTGCCTGATTTGAGGGTCGTCGTTGGAGATGCCCTTAAGAAGCATCACGAGAAGAACAGTACACCTGACAAATTGGCAGCCTTCTCCTGAATATTTTTGTCCTATGTACAAATACTGTACAGCTTTATGTGCAGAGAAGATATCTCTAGAATGAATCAAGAGGAATCCTATCAAATAATTGTTGTTTGTACAAATATTGGCCATCTATCATGCCCAAGCAGTTAGTTAAACTTCATTCTCAGTATGTATGTATGTATATGGAGTTAACAGCTACAGCTCCTGTATGCTGCCGAAATGACAAGAGTACAGCTTTCTGTGCGTTTCTGATGGTCACGAGCATCCTGGAGAAACAAAGCACATCGGTTAGTTTTTTCCAGCGAAATAGCACGTTGGTTGGGTGAAAAGAAGCAGCAAATGTTACCCAAAAGCAGGTTTTTCAGCCATCTTTCTCACCTTCTGATCTGCCAGTGAAAACCCTAGCAGCAAAAGATGCTCGGGCTTTGGGTTTAACTACGATGCACGGGATCAACATCTTCGCTCGCTTTACTGCAGTCTGCAGTGGTCAGCAGTATATACTCTCAGGATAAGACGAGAGTGACAAATGCCAAGGCGATGAGCGCCAAGAAGTGAATGGCCTGCAAAAGACAGAGGCCATTTCCAGGCACGTCAGATTCATGTCTCATATACACAAAGTAGAAATGCCAAAGACGACAGTGCCGTCTCGTAAAGAGTTAAGGCACCAGATATTCTCGGACGACGTATGATCCACATTCAGAAAGTTTGCAACGAACTTGCAGAATCTGAGAAGACGGAGCCCGAAGGGCCTTACCGTCCGCGTGGCATCCGATTCATCCATCGGCGGGAGGTAGCCGCGCAGGCCGACATTGTAGACCGGCGTGCCGTCGGGGTAGAAGAGGCCGTAGTTCCGCTCGGAGGCCGGCCCCGGCTTGAGGTTCTCGTTGAAGAGCGCGAAGACGTAGACATCTATGGGCACCGCCGGCCTCAGCGGCGTCCCTTGCTTCGACTCTATCCTCCGCAGCAGGTTCCCGATGTAGATCCCGGCGTACTGCGGCGTGGCGCCTGCCTCGTCGGGGTCGCCCCTGGACGGCCACCCGGTCTCGGAGATCTTCACGTCCACGTCGGCGTGGCCCAGCGCCTGGATCGCGGCGTACACTGAGTCCACCTGGGCGTACAGCATGTTGTCGTAGTTGAGCCCCGTGGTCGGGTCGGTCACCCCGGCGTTGGGCTGGAACAGCACGTACTCCAGCGGCACGCCGGTGGGGTCGTCCTTGTAGGCGAAGTACGGGTAGCAGTTGATGAGGAACGGGGACCTCGCCGCCGACAGGAAGTCGAGGAGCGGCTGGATGTACGGCACGACGTCCGGCCGGAACGCGCCGGCGGACGGAGGGTAGGAGCTGCCCATGATGTCCAGGGAGTGCGCCGTGGTGACGTTCACCTGCCCCTGCAGCCCAAGCGCGCCGAGCGCCTGGTACACGGACTTCATCGCCGGCAGGAGGCTGTCCTTGAGGTCGGTGTCGTTGCCCTTGAACACCTCGTTCCCGACGGTGATGCAGGTGATGCGCGTGCTCGGGAGGTACGGCCGGACGTGCTGCTGGACCCACGCCCGCGCGGCCGCCGGGTCCACCATCGCCGACACGTTCTCGTTCCCGATGCCGATGACGAACTCCACGCCCGTGTCCAGGAACGCGCTCAGCACGTTCTGGTCGGCGTCGTAGAGCTTCACCTTGCTCACCTGCATCGACCGGAGGAGCATGGACACGCGGGACGGCGAAGGGAGGTTGTCCGCGATCTGCCCGTAGTTGATCCCGATCGATAGGCCTCCGGCTGCCACCGCCTCATCTGCTGCGATTGTCACAAGTCAGAAAACAACGATCTGCATGCATGCATCGACATCAAGTTCACAGAGACAGAAACTGCATTCCGCGCACAGGCAAAACGGGAAGATGACTAATTGGAGATCTTGACGACAACGTTCACTATATCCATGACTAATTGGAGGTCGTGATTAATTTGATTATGGCCGCTTGGATCATATTAGTACAAAACATCCATCAATTTTGTCCAACTGGAGATACGTCCTCAAAGGTTCAAAATAAAATGAACAAAAATCTAAGCTGCATCTACCTACACGGTAGTAATTTCCTCCGTTCACTGTTATAAGAGGTTTTGGATATTTTAATATAAACTGCATACACTGAAATGAATGAACAAACACATCAAAATGTGTCTACATATATCTGATTTAGAAAAAAAAGTTAGAACATGAGGGAGTACTTGTTTATTGCACGATACAGTGAAAGCTGGGGTCCACATGTGAAAGAGCATGTGAATGGGGCATCCTACCAAGAATCAAGCCAATATAAAGACTACGTACGTTGTCAAACACCTTTTTAGAGTATTTCATTTTGTAACAGTCATCCAGTGGCCACAAGCGATCTAAAAGTACACCAGGTTTAGCTAACAACTGTAATCAGCAAGCCACTTGGCCACCCTTTGGGAGATACTTTACGGGGAAAGTCATCGCAGCTCAGCACCAGATCGGATCCACGTCAATTTGGGAAGGAAAGCAAAGGGAAAATAGTGCCGGAATGGCTTGGATTTGGTATTGGGATTTGGGAGATGCTCCCAAGTGGTACGTAGTGGGCAGCCTTCCTTACGCCATGGAGCACCTTGAGGGACCATGTGAGCTCCCTGGATATTCGTTTAAAACGTACTACGTCGTGATAAGTGATAAGATAATCTCAGCAAGTACACCTAACAACCACTATCGATAGCTAGATCGTCATGTCATGCTGTTACTTGAGGGAAAATCAGGCAGCCAAGATTAAATCTTATTTTTTGGGGCTTGAAAAAAACCTTTTTGAGACTAAGAAAGAGAGCAAAGATCGCATTCCGAAAAGAATTAAAGTAAAATAAACGCATCAGATATCAGACAGAAACTCTGTATACAGAGGAAACAAGAAATGAAAGACCACTTGGCTCTATGATCAATGATGTGGTGTAAGTTTGACATATGGCAATGGAACTAGGTAAACATCAGTTTAGACAAGGGGAGTGTTTAGACAAATGGCATGCAAAGCATTTACAAGGAAAATAAAGGAGCGCAGCTTTGAGCCCAAACCGAAACGAGTTAGCGCTCTAGCTACCGGGTGAACCACAAATTGGAAGGCCGTTTTGAGCTTCATCATGCAATGATCATGTACACAGTCTCTAATCCAACTCTCTGTGTGCCCCGCAAAACCCTCTCTAGCTAGTGTGCGAAGCGAATATGCAACGACGACGTTCCCCCGCTGCGTGAATACGCGAGGATGTATAAGTCCCAAAGTTGCGCGGCGCTCACCTGCTGTGGCCGTGAGAATGATGGCGAAGACGAGGAGGAAGACGCGAGGCGGCGACCCGGTTCTTGACGGCTCCGGCACGGCCATGGCCGGACGAGTGTGGACGCAGATAGCTTGAAGCTCCGATTCCAGCCAGGCACTGGGGAATGCTTGACCTCTCGATGCTCGCGAGTTTGTGTGGACGGAGTGTGTCTGCGCTGCGTTTTGCTTGCGTTTTTGGGGCTTGGGGTGGTGTTTCGGGATATTTAAGGGGCGGCAATGGTGAGGTGACGACCGACGACAGTTACAGCCGTTGGTTAGGCCCCGCTGCGTTGCGTGTGCTTCTGGATCGAGGGTTTTGTGCCTGCCTGATGCAGGAAAGCGCGATGAGGGAGAGCGAGGTCGGGACGGAAACGAGTGTGCGCGTGGGCCGGTCCGGCGGCAGGTACAGCCCTGCTGCCTTATACATGTGCGCCGTCGACGCGTGTCGACCTGGTATCTCCGCCGCGCCGACCATTCCATGTTCGGGGCGGGATCCGACGTGTGCGCCCGCAGGTTGGTACCCGCATTCCCCTCTCGTGATTCCGTGCTTCTCTCGGCCCAATCCTCCCTCCGTCGAGCCGGCCGGTTGATGAGATGCTTCCTCAGACAAAAAAATAGGCCCGAGCGGCACGAATCACGCCGCAGGTTTCAGGCGAGGCAACGAGACGCAAGTTGAAGGCCACACGCATATGCATTTTGTACTGGACGTCCGAGAATGAATGGTTTCTCCCAAACGGGAAGCAAGGTTAAGTCGACGGGTCCGTCCTAGAGCGGGACCACGCAGGCGGCAGGCTGGCATTGGTGCGCGGTGATGGGGCGGTGGCCGTCGACGCGATCCGGCTGGGTGCGCCCGACACCGCCTGTGACGCCGCTCCGACTCGGCGGCACGTGGACCGGGCCCGCCGCCCGATCGCGCGTCCGTCAGACTCGCCGCATTCCGGTCACGGGCTGCCTCCTTTCTTGTCCACGCCGACCTGCGACATTTGCCACATACAGTAATCTTGGTAACACGACGGACCAGGCACCGCGCGAGCCTGTGGAATTGGCGCATTAGCTCAGACCCACGACTGAATCCTATGAATCGTGAGTAGTGACAACAATAATTCGATACGCTACATGTGAGCAACATCGTGATCGACGATCCCTTTTCTTCCATTTGGCACCTTTAATTCGGCATCTTTGCCCTACAAATCGTCCTTGAGCCAGTTCATCGTCTTTTGTTTCCTCAACTTTTGTCCGCACTGCGCTCCCCACGACCACGACCAGGGACGGCCAGTCGCTTGCTCGCCCTCTCCCTGCCACAGTGCCGCACCTAACCCGATGGGATATCCAGTACAGGTACACGCGAATCCATTTTGGACACGCACGCTTCGTGCCGACCCTATTATTACATCTCTTTTCTTCGCACCAAACCGCAAAAGGTCTTTTCATGCGTGTTTATAAAAACGTACGTATACACCAACCAACATATACCGCCAAAGATCACAGCAATTTCGGAGTTGAAAAAAGCATCTCCTCGCGCTGTCGAGATCGATGTTTTCGTGGCGGTGGTGGTGTGTTACGTATGTATACTTTACCCCCAGGTCAAGTGACACACCTTTCTGTGCCAAAGCATCCAGATAAATGGGATGTTGTTGCTGCGATAACAACAAATGCAATGCGCGCGGCACAACACTCGTCCGGGGAAGATTCACCCGTTCTTGTTTCGTGGACGTGGCGAGAACGGCGGCGAACCTGAAACCGATTGACGCGCCACAGCAATACCCACGGCCGTCCACGTCAAGATGTGCTCGACAGATTCCACATATCCACATGAGAACGTAGAGAGAACGACAAAATAAAATGCACTTGCTCAGGTTAAAGTTGACGGCGACGAAGTGAGAATAAAATTTAGCTAAGATTCAGGCGACAGCTACATATGCAGGCAGATCAGATCAGACAGAGTGTCAAAGATTGAATGAAACTAGTGCTGCTGCTACATGCTAGTAGAGGTCGGACTCCTTGTGCGTCTGGATGACGAGGTCGGAGGTGGGGTAAGCGACGCAGGTGAGCGCGTAGCCGGCGCCGACCTGCGCGTCGTCGAGGAATGACTGGTCCGACTGGTCCACGCCGCCCTCCAGGACCTTGCCGGCGCAGGTGGAGCACGCGCCGGCGCGGCACGAGTAGGGCAGCTCCACGCCGGCCTCCTCCGCCGCGTCCAGGATGTAGCTGTCCTCCGCCACCTCGATCACGCTCTCCTTCCCCTCCGGCCCGATCAGCTTCACCTTGTACACGGCCGCCGCGCGGAAGTCGCTCCGTGCTCTTGAGCCTGTCAGCGTTGGCGCCATTCTCGCCGAGCTCAGGTGCAAGTGCCGTGGCTGTTGTCTGGTGCTGTGGTTCAGGCGTGGGTTCGTTCTCAAGTTGCAGAGAATTGGTGCCGCGAATGTAGTTGCCATCTCGGGTGCTTGGGGTATGCTAAAATGGTAATCATCGTTCAGAAACAAGAGAGGAGACGCTATAATAACAGGCAGAAAAAAGAACAAGTTTACAGGCACCAAATTCAAGCAGAAATATTTGGCCCCAAAATTCCCATTTTTGGGTGCATTAAGGCTTGACATGTGTGCTTAACAAATTGGTTTTACACTACTTCAAAGCTCAACACTTCAGTTAGACCTGTCCCAAAATTATGCTTTACCAGGACCATTTTAAGAAGCACTTATCTACTATATACGGCAGCGGAATTATTTAGAAAGTATGGTGTTGATTGAGCTATAGGATGTGACCAAGCAATCAAATTAGTATTTCTGGCTAGAAAATACTCCCTCCACTCCTTTATGTAAGGTGTATAATTTTCAGCACGGTGACCAAGGCACATAATTATACACAAGTTGGGAGAAAATTAACCTTGACTAAATTATTTATTAGTGGCAAGTAAATCATTTAAGCTAGGAAAGTAAGATATATGCACAATCAGGAGAGAGGTACTTTCCTTTATCTCTTTAAAAGAAGAGACACACGCAATCGGGGAAAAGATACTTACTAGAGGCTAAAAACGGATTTTTGAAGAATTGGAAGAAATGCACCTTACATTGTGGAATTTTATCAAAAAACAAATGCACCTTATATAAAGCAATGGAGGGAGTAGGTCTGAAAGCGAGTGCTAAAATGAAGTAAAGTGTCACAACTACGTCCTACCCGTCTTACTAGGTACCCGTCTGTTCACAAATGTAAGATGTTTTGGCAGTTACAAAGGAGCAACGATATCATCTGATCACGGAAGTTTGGCATATCCATTTCTAAAAAAGCAATATGACTCTTCCACACGACACCTTTCGCATGAAAAAGGCAGAAGAATGTCCCGAATGGGCCATAAAACTTAGACATTAGAAGCTAGTTGATCAGCATGGATCAAAAAAGTTAATCTCTGACAATGGACATTAGAGTACAAGCAATGTCATTGCAGTCAAGTGCCTGATGAATAAAAGATACCCAGTTGCAGTCAATAGTTTTTCACAACATGTATTTGGGATTGGGATATGGATGAGATTGCAAAGTGCATGACACATATCAAGTCTATCGTAGTGAATCAGCTTTTCCATTTATGTAGGAAACTCTATGCGGATCTTTGTCATCCGCACTTGAATTACCCGCCGCATGGTATAGTGTGATGCGAGACCTTTTAGATTTCCTTTTCACCACAAAGCTCTTCCAGAGTAAGCTGAAACCCTTACAACATAAGTAATGCCGATAAGAGTAAGCGCGGCATCTTTGACAGCATGTTGCGCATGTTAAGCCCAATACTCTACTTTACATATTTGCAGATAAGGTTGTGGTTTGGGCCCTGAAACCAAGCCATAATTTATATGCTGCTGATGTCAAAACAGAAAGTAATGTTAACTGATACCACTACTGCTTATTAGATTTGGGGTTGGACAGTTGGACTTGGACCCATATAATTCGACAGGTATGGTCAGAACTCAGTATAGCACTATCAGATTTGTCCAGCCTACAGAAAACTCAAGTAATCAGCGCAACTCATAGTGAGAGGGAGGGAGCAGAGCATGAGTGGCGAAGCAGGCAATACGAGGTGCAGACGGGGGGTTTCCCTGCATTGCACATTCGCATCGCACTAGAGTCTACACAGGCGAAACCAGCCAAGTGATGAACATTGAACAGTGGTGGTTTACCGTTGCATTTGGGCACCACTTGTCTGACGCGGGATTTGGAACTTGGAAGATGGGATGAGAAGAGCAGAGGAGACTGACCTGGTAGGAAGGAAGTGTGCCGCCGCGCTGCAATCCGGAGCAAGGCTGAGCCGACCGAAGGCGAATGGGGAGAAGAGGAGGAGCGTGGAAATGGAACGGTCACGGGGCGCTGGGATACGGATGGGGGCGGGGGGAAGAGAAGAGACGCGTCAGCAGAGTTTGGTTTTAACTGGGACCCTTCGTCCGATCCCACGTCCACGCGCCATTCGGCATTGTGCGCGGACGGGAGCACGGATCCGACGGTAGCGCTCGTGCTGGACGGACGCGACGGCGACAGACGGTGGAAGCGGCCTATAGTGACCAACTATCTATGCTGTGGCCTGTGTGTGCGGGTGATAGCTGGGTGGTCAAGGGGAGCTGAAACAGGCCCGTTGGAACGGCCGCGTCTAGCTGCATCTAGGCAGAAACACATTAGGCCCACGGAGCAAGGGGCTGTCGGTTCATTTTCTTGTAAGACCATCCACAATGGTGAGTAACACTAGTAACATACACATATCCCTAGACTTTGTTACTACCTTCATAGTGGGTAGTAACATAAGTGTGGTAACATGCAAAGCTTCATTCATTAGGTTATAGACTCATAATATTGCATTGGGGCATGTGATGTTACAGTAAATAGCTAAGTTACTATAACTACCTCTCTCCTCATTAACTCATTGCCACATAAGCAAATTTGTTGAGTGTGACTCGATGTTACTGCTGAAGTTACTCCCACTGTGGCTAGTCTAAGGCAAAAAACCGCAAAGACTGTATTCATTTCCTCGGGATAAGCACCTCCGGCTTCTGGGTGTATATATCCGGGGCGTAGTACCTCACCTAGTT